AGCCAATGGGAAGGGTAGCGGTCGTACGCTAATTACCGTTATTCTCTTTTATTAGTGTAGATATATATATATATATTAGTCTTTTAATAGTTAAAGGAGAAATGGGTTACTATCTTCAAAGCCATTTAAAACCTTTTTTTAAAGCAAAAGAAACAAAGGAAGAAGGAAAGAGTATTAATGAGGGGAGTGCTAATTAGGATGTTATAGTGACCTTTCTGTGTCTACATGCCTTCAAACTTACCCACTCAACAAACCTGGCTGCCATTCTCTCCTCCCCCTTCTACTAATTAGCCCATGGATGGTTTCTCTGGAACTTTCTGAATGAGACATTGAGTCCCAAAACTACACATTGGCCAAGAGGGACCCTCCCAGTAATCCCCATGTCTGTTTTGCTCTCCTAACATTCTCTCCTAAAGGAGTTTTATCTAAAGGAAATTTCCTAGTGTTTTCTTTGAGGTGGCGACAGCTGTTACCATGTTCATTGGTCTCTTTACGTAAGAAGAGGCCATTTAAATTTTCCTACCATTTCTTATGCCTTTTTGTCCCAGGTCAGACTCAACCTGAGGGGAGTGTTAGAAGTTATCTTGGGGGAAGAGTCATGGATTGTTTAAGAGTTATTATTATTATTATTATTATTATTAATAATTTTACAGAGAGGCAAAGAGAAAGAAAGAGATTTGTTGTTCTACTTATTTCTGCATTCACTGGTGATTCTTATATGTTCCGGGACTGGGGATTGAACCCACAACGTTGGAGTATTGGGACAACACTCTAACCAACTGAGCTACCTGGCTGGGGCCTGTTTATGAGTCTTGAAGATGGAACCCCAGAGCTATTGGTGTCCTCAAAGTTCAAGTATGACCAGTGCTTTCGTTTTACAGAAATGAAGCCAAGCAACAGACACTTTAAGTAACTTGCTCTAGATACACAGCTCATTGGTGGATGCAAGTTTAAGAGTTTTCATTCCATCCAACAGAAGCAGAGAATCACTGATCTCAGAGCAGATTTTCTAGGGCAGTTCATACCTAGACCCACTGAGTGCCCAACCAAAACTGATGAAAAGGCTCTTCAGTGTTCAGATCACCTGAGAGAATGCAAGTAAAAGTGGGTAGGATGGCTCACCATGCCCATTCCCTCCGCCAGTCACTTAATCATCCCCTCAATCCTGGCTGGTTCCAGGAAGTCTTGAGGAAAACTTTGCAGAGGATGATACTTGAGGAAGGGTTGATGGAATGGGCTGAACTTAAAAAAGGGCGCAAGCTGGGCAGATCCTCAGATACCTTCAGGGCCGGCAAAATCACCACCGGGCCTCTCCTTTCCCCATGTTGATACTATTTGTCACAGAATCCGAGAGGATTCTAGGTACATTTAGACATTTAGCTCCCAAACAACACATAAGACAAAACTGTATTTTCAAATCATTATTCATCGAAATTGCAAACAAAGCTTCTCAACTAGAAGAGAGTTCTCTGTCGCTTGTTTTTAAGGAGCTTCCACCGGTAAAAGTTCCCCTAGCGGGGTAAATCCCAAAGTGTGTAGACTTGGCTTTATCCTAGCCTCAGAGTAGGCGTAACCTTTCCTTATCAAGATGAATTGAGACAACAAAGCTCCAAGTTGGTTCTGCAATCACTGAGCAACCGGTGCTAACAATCCACGACCAGAATGAGCAGGGGAATGGTCCCTGAGCTTTGCCAGTTCCCTCTTGAGCCTTTTCCCACTGCCTGCAGGATTTGTGCATTTCAGCGGGACCAGAATATAACCTGTGTACAGCTTATAGAGGAGAAACTGAGAGGCAGAGAAGCAGGGCCTAAAGCACTTCTTGCTGCCACCCAGGGTTTAAAGACATGCCCAGATGCCTCCCGTGTTCATGTGCAATGGTTCGGCTCCAAGGACGATTTCATCTTTCCAAATTTTAAGATACCTCTACGTGGACATTTTCTTTTTCTTACTATATTTCCTTAACTATATAAGTGTTATCTATATCTCTATATCTATATCTATCTATTTAGATAGATAGATATTATAGATAAATAGATATAGATATATAGATATAGATATAGATATTTGTTTTTGTTAAAAATTAAAACATGGCTCAGTTGGAGCATCATCCTGTACACCGAAAGGTTGCAGGTTCCATTCCCTGTCAGGGCACATACCTAGGTTTCGGGTTCAATATCCAGTCAGGGTGTGTATGGGAGGCAGCCAATCGATATTTCTCTCTCACATCGATGTCTCTTTCTCTCTCTCTCCCTTTCTCTAAGGTCAATGAACATATCCTTGGGTGAGGATTACAAACAAAACTTTTAAGTATCAGAAGGTTGCTAGGGTTTAAAGACATGCCCAGATGCCTCCCGTGTTCATGTGCAATGGTTCGGCTCCAAGGACGATTTCATCTTTCCAAATTTTAAGATACCTCTACTCAGACATTTTCTTTTTCTTACTATATTTCCTTAACTACATAAGTGATATCTATATCTCTATATCTATCTATTTATCTAGATAAATAGATATTATAGATAAATATATGGATATAGAGATATAGATATTTGTTTTTGTTAAAAATTAAAACATGGCTCAGTTGGAGCATCATCCTGTACACCGAAAGGTTACAGGTTCCATTCCCTGTCAGGGCACATACCTAGGTTTCGGGTTCAATATCCAGTCAGGGTGTGTATGGGAGGCAGCCAATCGATATTTCTCTCTCACATCGATGTCTCTTTCTCTCTCTCTCCCTTTCTCTAAGGTCAATGAACATATCCTTGGGTGAGGATTACAAACAAAACTTTTAAGTATCAGAAGGTTGCTTAATTACAACCTTACTGAGTGTTGATTTTGTACTTGATTTCCCCTCCCCACCTCAATAATAAGTTTTAGAGATTGTCTTCTACCAGCACAAACAAATCTATCTCATTATTTTAAACAACTTCATAGATATATTTCCATGTGTGGATATACCATTGCCTATTTAACCATTCTCATATTTAGGGCATATAAGCTGTTTTTTTCCAAAAGGTCACTTTCATGTGCTACATTCAAAGGCACCTGATAGCACATAAAATGTTATTGTTATTAATACTCCTTGTCCTTAGAACACCTATCTAGACACTGAAAGGAAGGCCTCCAAGGCCTGGAGCCAGATTCTCACTTAGAAGACACCTTGTTCCGCTGTTGTACTTTCAATTGCTCATTTTGCCATCCCTCTTAATAGCCTTCCCAGGCCCAGCTGCCACTCACCTTCCTTGGCTCGGAGAAGTCGCTGACTTTGCCTGACTAGGAATGCAAGTATCTTACGGCCAAGCCCTGGTTCAGTTACACACTCGAAAGTGCCAAAGGGAGGTCACAAAGTGAAGCAAACAAGGTTCAAGGTTGTTTCCCCTCCCCTGCCAACCGGAATGGAATCACCTGTACTAGTTCAAAGGCCAAAAGCACTGAGCCATTCTGAGCAGGATTGTGGTGTCAGCTTTCATCCCTTCTTAAAGTAGAGTCAAGATTGCAGTCCTCTTCTTCTCGGGGCTCTGAGAAGAAGAGGCACGCACACAACTGTGAGCAACACAGGAAAAGTTCTTCCTGCGGTTATCAGCGGCCTTCAACATTAGAGACAGGCAAAGGCTGTGGAGGTCTTACCAGACCTTTCAGCAGGTGCCTTGTTCCAGGAACTAATGTGTTCCAACTCCGACTTTGCCACACGTGCAAACCCCTGTCAGCCAACACGACCACATGGCTGTTCTGTAAACTCAGCCAAGACAGCCTCTGTTCATGTAGGCCCTCGGGCAGTGTTCGGGATAAAACGTTCACTTCCAGATAAAGGAAACCACGTTCTAGCAGCAGATTTCAGCCCATTTCCTAGTCTATTATGTGTTAGGCATTTTCTAACACCAAGAGACAAACTGCCCTGCCAGAGAAGGTGGCAGTTGTATACGTATGAAGTTGTGAAGAATCAAGGGCATGGGATTTTAATCCTGGCTCTGCCCTGTGTCTAGCTGAGCAAGTCCCTTCACCTCTTAGGGTCTCAGATCCTCACGTTACAAGGACAGCTTTGAACAAAATGATTTCTGGGGCCCTACAGTTTTATTGAGGTCTCAAAACCACTGAATCAAAAGGTAGAAACAAACAGTAATGGCTAGAGCATCACATGCAGACAGCAGAGTGGATTTTCCAAAGCCTCTAAAATAGGAAGTGGTCCAGAAAGCCTTCACCAGCCCAGTGTATTTCAACCATTTTTAAGACATGCCCCCATTTGATAACTGAAAAATCTCAGTTCTGGCCAGTGTGGCTTGGTGGGTTGGGTGCTGTCCTGTGCACTGAAAGGTTGCTGGTTCAATTACCAGTCAGGGTACATGCTGAGGTTGCAGGCTCCATCCTGGTAGGGGGACATGTAGGAGGCAGCCAGTCGATGTTTCGCTCTCACATTGGTGTTTCTCTCCCTCTCCCTCTCTCTCTCTTTCTCAAATTAAAAAAATAAACCTCACACCTTCTGTTAACATGCATAGAAATGTCAAGATCAACTTGAGGTCCAAACCAAATCAAAGCAATGGCAATTTTGAATATGTTTTTCCAAACTTCCATGGACCTTAGAGATTTTGATAAGGCTTCTCTCCTCCTTCCCATCTGAGAATCTCTGCCCAAATTTTGCCTTTGCTGGAGTCAATAATGAACATATCCTTGGGTGAGGATTACAAACAAAACTTTTAAGTATCAGAAGGTTGCTTAATTACAACCTTACTGAGTGTTGATTTGGTACTTGATTTCCCCTCCCCACCTCAATAATAAGTTTTAGAGATTGTCTTCTACCAGCACAAACAAATCTATCTCATTATTTTAAACAACTTCATAGATATATTTCCATGTGTGGATATACCATTGCCTATTTAACCATTCTCATATTTAGGGCATATAAGCTGTTTTTTTCCAAAAGGTCACTTTCATGTGCTACATTCAAAGGCACCTGATAGCACATAAAATGTTATTGTTATTAATACTCCTTGTCCTTAGAACACCTATCTAGACACTGAAAGGAAGGCCTCCAAGGCCTGGAGCCAGATTCTCACTTAGAAGACACCTTGTTCCGCTGTTGTACTTTCAATTGCTCATTTTGCCATCCCTCTTAATAGCCTTCCCAGGCCCAGCTGCCACTCACCTTCCTTGGCTCGGAGAAGTCGCTGACTTTGCCTGACTAGGAATGCAAGTATCTTACGGCCAAGCCCTGGTTCAGTTACACACTCGAAAGTGCCAAAGGGAGGTCACAAAGTGAAGCAAACAAGGTTCAAGGTTGTTTCCCCTCCCCTGCCAACCGGAATGGAATCACCTGTACTAATTCAAAGGCCAAAAGCACTGAGCCATTCTGAGCAGGATTGTGGTGTCAGCTTTCATCCCTTCTTAAAGTAGAGTCAAAATACAGTCCTCTTCTTCTCGGGGCTCTGAGAAGAAGATGCACGCACACAACTGTGAGCAACACAGGAAAAGTTCTTCCTGCGGTTATCAGCGGCCTTCAACATTAGAGACAGGCAAAGGCTGTGGAGGTCTTACCAGACCTTTCAGCAGGTGCCTTGTTCCAGGAACTAAGGTGTTCCAACTCCAATTCTGCCACACGTGCAAACCCCTGTCAGCCAACACGACCACATGGCTGTTCTGTAAACTCAGCCAAGACAGCCTCTGTTCAGGTAGGCCCTCGGGCAGTGTTCGGGATAAAAGGTTCACTTCCAGCTAAAGGAAACCACGTTCTAGAAGCAGATTTCAGCCCATTTCCTAGTCTATTATGTGTTAGGCATTTTCTAACACCAAGAGACAAACTGCCCTGCCAGAGAAGGTGGCAGTTGTATACGTATGAAGTTGTGAAGAATCAAGGGCATGGGATTTTAATCCTGGCTCTGCCCTGTGTCTAGCTGAGCAAGTCCCTTCACCTCTTAGGGTCTCAGATCCTCACGTTACAAGGACAGCTTTGAACAAAATGATTTCTGGGGTCCTACAGTTTTATTGAGGTCTCAAAACCACTGAATCAAAAGGTAGAAACAAACAGTAATGGCTAGAGCATCACATGCAGACAGCAGAGTGGATTTTCCAAAGCCTCTAAAATAGGAAGTGGTCCAGAAAGCCTTCACCAGCCCAGTGTATTTCAACCATTTTTAAGACATGCCCCCATTTGATAACTGAAAAATCTCAGTTCTGGCCAGTGTGGCTTGGTGGGTTGGGTGCTGTCCTGTGCACTGAAAGGTTGCTGGTTCAATTACCAGTCAGGGTACATGCTGAGGTTGCAGGCTCCATCCTGGTAGGGGGACATGTAGGAGGCAGCCAGTCGATGTTTCGCTCTCACACGTTCCGTCTTTTAGTTGTATTTTTGAAGTGGTTGTTTGCGGCAGCAGTCTCCGGTGTTTACCTATGCCGCCATCTTGGTCTCCCCTCCCTTAGAGATTTTGATAAGGCTTCTCTCCTCCTTCCCCTCTGAGAATCTCTGCCCAAATTTTGCCTTTGCTGGAGCCTCTGTCAAAAAGGTAGCAATGAAAGATCAGAAAGGGCTGTCAGTGACTTCATATTAAAATTCTTATTTCTCCAAACAATGGATTCTTTTTGAGGCCCTTACACTAATTGTTATCGTCTTAGTAAGGCAAAGCCTTCACCAGTCAACTTTCTGAGACTGTGATAAGGATGAGTGGACTGTCTTTTACAACTTGGCGAAGAATGGGTATGTTGGAGAATGAGCTAATGTGAATGCATAATGATTCCCTCTCCTGCCCCCAAACTTTCTGAAAAGCTGAACTTACTTCATGAGATGAAATTTCACTGAATGGACAGTAGGATGATAGAGAGTTTGCACTGAGGCATTTTTTAAAAAGGAAGTCTGATTGTCATAGTAACGCTCTGAAAAGGCTTTGATGCAACCTTGGAATTACTTCACATCCAATTACACAGGACATCCACTTGGGGTGAGAGATAAGTGCTTCTGTGACTGCAAACACAGAAAGAAAATCCATTTACCCTTTTTAGCCAATTTATTAAAGCAGGGAAGAATTATTTTTAAAATGCAATTTCTGACTTCAAGTAAGGAGGAGTATTAGAAAAATATTTCTTGGTGTAGTTTAGAGTTTCCTAATAAAAGAGAAAATACTGCAAGAAATCGCAAGTATGGGTTCTTTGGGAAGCAGAGAGATTTGGGGCTAGTACAAGCACTGAGCGGTCATTGAGTCTGGTCCTTGGTCATCAGGAAGGGCCAGGTGCAAGCAGGCAGGACCTCTTACCTTCAGGACTAAAACCTCCCTGTGTAAACATCCTGATGCTGGAAGTCTCACTGCCACCGTTTCTTATGATTTTCTGAGAGCCTGGCACCTTAGTCTGTTTGTCTCATTCTAGCTTCAGGACAGACCATCACCGTCAGAGACATTTGCTGAGCACTTTTGTACAATGAGTCTTTTTTTATTTTTTTAAAATATATTTTATTGATTTTTACAGAGAGGAAAGGAGAGGGATAGAGAGTTAGAAACATCGATGAAAGAGAAACATCGATCAGCTGCCTCCTGCACACCCCCTACTGGGGATGTGTCCGCAACCAAGGTACATGCCCTTGACTGGAATCGAACCTGGGACCCTTCAGTCCTCAGGCTGACGCTCTATCCACTGAGCCAAACTGGTTAGAGCTGTACAATGAGTCTTGCTAGGTCAACAGAGAAAAGCTAGAAGATGGAGTTCCTGCCATTGAAATCTTACAGGAACTACCCCCTGCCATCAGCTCAAAACCATTCTTATAACTAGGTATTGTTAAGCTCTTCAGAACATCACATTTTGGAACATAGAAAGAGTTTCAATATGTCTTGCCCATCCCCTAAATAAACACATTGGAACAAGGTAAGTGGTTTTGCCCCAAATCACATGTGGAGTCAGGATACAAATCTAGGTCTCCCTACATCCAGGCCAGATGAAAAGTATCTGAGCATTTTTCTTCGCAAAGATATGCTAGCTGATATATACTGCTTACCTCCCTTCTAAGTAAATACCCATATATGTATTTTTTTAATGTTTTCTGTCTCCTTCGTTCCTATACAGAGATTTATAGCTCTGTCGCTTTAAAAAATATGTATAGGCTCACATTCCTTGGAGAAATAGCTGATTCCAGGTCTGGAGCAGGGAAGGTACAAGATGAACTTAGAACTGTCCCTGCTGGAAAGCAGGCAGATACTCATGGACTAATGGGGGCTTGCCAAAAGGAGCAGCTGTAAGGGGCTTGTGCTATCTAAATTTGGGATATGTTGAGTGTTGAAAAGAATAATGATGGTAATTTATGAATGCACCAAGTACCCTATTGAGTCCATAGTGATACTCAATACCTACATGATGTAAATGTATAAATAAGTAAATAGACAGAAAGGGGAAAGGAAAAGCTCTTCCTTACAGAAGAATGCCAGGTAATCAATGGAGAGAAAAGGACATTAGAAAGTTCACTATTTTACCACCCCCAATGAAATAGCTAACTCGGGCAAAGATCACCAAGGAACACTAAAACCATTTTGTGAAATGTCATTGGGTGTCAGGATATTCTCATGGTATTAAAGGATCTCACAGGTTACTTATTAAATACTAAGGGGCAAAGGCACCTCTACAATGGAGAGACCCAGCCGGCACCCCCTTCACAACTGAGCAAACTTATGGTCAAGAGAAGTGGTAGGGCCAGGTATCAGTATTTTTTAAACCTTTCCAGCTGATTCTAATTTCCAGCCAGAATTGAGAATACCATCCTAGTGCTTAGATTTACACGAATATATTTGTAATCTTACATACATATTTTCTTAAAGTTGTAGTAAGCAAGCCACCCTTAAGTACAGTTTCAGAATTGTGATGGTTAAAGGCTCTGCCTTACTAAGACTATGGGAAAAAATACATACATCATAAATATAATTTATTCATTCAACAAAGGTTTATTTAGCCTGGTCCTGTGGGACAACTTGACATTATGCGTCTCCTGAAGTGTTGCAGTAACAAGTCCACACCATTACTTATGTAACATGCTAACCAAAGATGTTGAACCTGAATACAGTCATGGACAGCATTCAGACAAAGCCAGAATGTTGTATATTTAACAAGACAACTAGTTGGACTCTTCAAAGAGGTCAATGACTTGAACAAAAAAGAAGTAGGTGATTGCCCTGGCCGGTTTGGCTCAGTGGATAGAGTGTCGGCCTGCAGACTGAAGGGTCCTGGGTTCGATTCCAGTCAGGGGCATGTACCTTGGTTGCAGGCACATCCCCAGTGGGGGGTGTGCAGGAGGCGGCTGATCGATGTTTCTAACTCTCCCTCTCCCTTCCTCTCTGTAAAAAAGAGGTAGGTGATTGTTCTAGAAACTAATGAGATATAACAATCAAACAAAATGCGTGAAATTTGCTTAGATCCTATAATTTTTAAAAAACAAACCATAAAATACATTTTTGGGACAATTAAAGAAATTTGAATATAGACTTATTTAGACACTATTAATGACAGCTTTCTTATGTATAATAATGGGTTGAGGGTAATACGGGAGAATGTCCTTATTCTAAGGAGATATAGTCTAAAGCAGTGATGGCGAACCTATGACACGCGTGTCAGAGATGACACGCGAACTCATTTTTTTGGTTGATTTTTCTTTGTTAAATGGCATTTAAATATATAAAATAAATATCAAAAATATAAGTCTTTGTTTTACTATGGTTGCAGATATCAAAAAATTTCTATATGTGACACGGCACCAGAGTTAAGTTAGGATTTTTCAAAATGCTGACACGCCGAGCTCAAAAGGTTTGCCATCACTGGTCTAAAGTATTTAGGGATGAGGTATCATGGTAACTGCTTTCAAATGGTTCAGCAAGAAAAGTAAGTGTGTGTGTGTGTGTGTGTGTGTGTGTGTGTGTGTGTGTGTAGAAGGTGGCTCAGCTTGGCGTGGAAGAGGATGGAAGCCAGGGAGCCGGGTGTCTGCGGGCACATGGCCCTGCCAAGCAGTGTCCAAAGCTCCTCTAGAGCCCCAGGAATGCCAGGGATGAGGCTCCTGTGGGCAGTGCTCTCAGCTGCATCCGCTTCCCGTGCTGCCAGCTGGACAGAAGTTGGGGAAAGAAGAACAGCTTGCCCGTGACCTGCTTTCTCGCCACCCACCACGATCTAACTGGAAATGGCAAGATGTTTCTTTGAGGGTACAAAAATGCAGGTGTCCATCAGCACACACCGGGTCAGGCACCCGATGGATCCAGGGGCAGATTCGAATGTTCGTTAAGCCTCTGGGGTCAGGAGACCCCACGCCATGGTGACCCTGGAAGCCTCACAGCAAGGCAACAGCAGACCTCTTTCTTCATTGTGCCTCCTTTAATGCCACCAAAGCAATACATTATTACTAAAAGTTTTCTAAGATGCTACCAGTTGATGACTTATTACTCCATTTCCAAATTCTGGGGTTGAAGAACATATACTAAGAATATATGAATAAATAAATGAATATGAATATGAATTTAAAAATGCCCCAGGAACTTAAAGGAGGAGGAGAGCACCAGGGCGGTGGTGGGGGATTCTGGGGTGAGTGACAGATCCTGGGGGCTCGGCTGAAGGCCAACCAGATAAAGGTGTTCTTTCCCCCTCTTTCTCTTTCTGCTCTTTTTTTATATATATATATTGATTTCAGAGAGGAAGAGAGAGAGATAGAGAGACAGAAACATCAATGTTGAGAAAGAATAATTAATCGGCTGCCTCCTGCA